ATTAAAAAGGGGTAAATGCTGAATGTGGCTTTTCTGTAGACAGGACATTTAAGTGGCTGCCAGAAGAAGGGAGCTCTACATGTCCCTCAGCAGAGCAGGAATAGGAACTTGTGCTTTGCCCAGTTCCCTCATTTTCGCAAAACTTGTAAGATTTCAAAATATATTTAACATATGTCAAATATGTTGTTCATTGGTTAAATTTCGTTAAAATTGACCAAATAGCTTAAAAGTTAATCATGAGGAATAAACAGGCAGATTTTCTAGTAGCACACCAGGCATTCTCACGTAAGCCTGGCATCCTTAGAAACAAGCTAAAATTTGATGTATAGAAGAAAATGCTGTTATGATTGGAATAGTACAGGAACGGTAGTGTTGTAATAGCTTCCCACTAATCACACTAGGTCTTGATCTGGCTGGGACAGCACCGAGCAGCAGAGACAATCTTTCTATCTGCTTCAGTATTGCAAACGGCAGAGTTCTGCTACCAACAGGGTTTTAAGGATCCACTCTAACGAGATGTTTCAGTGTCCTGGAGACAAAAGGCAAGTGACAGAAAGCCAAGCACTGCAGTTTTCCACATGTCACTTGGAAGGAGTGGATTCTGGAGGCCAACCACAACGTAGAGAAAGGCCTGATGCTTCCAAATGTCTTTTCAGTGATGTTCCCACCTGGAGCTCAGGTGTCAGGTGCAGCCTGCAGCATTTCTCTTCCCACTTATGGGGGGGTCTCAATCCCAAATCCAGTGGTAAAGAGCTTGTGTGGCTCCATGGCTGCATATATGTGGTGATAGTCCCCAGCACAGAGGGACCAACCTAAGGCTTGACACTGGTTAGCTTTTCCTCAAACCCTCCCATTTAGGAGGACTTAGGTGAGGTTTAGGATTGGGAGAGACTGGTGTGCCTGGACACCTTCGCAGGAATTCATTTCAGCTGTAATAAGGTAATTCAAAATACCAGCAATTGTGACTTTCTGAAAGAGCATTTCTAAGCATTTTGTCTTAGGCTTTAGGGCAAAATTCTGGTCCCATTAAAATCAGAGGGAATTTTGTCATTGATTTCTTTCATCAGGGTGGCAGTCTTTGTTTCCACCATTGCGAATGAAACGGGCATTTCTGTTCATGTTCGCTCCATTGCATTTCAAGTAAACCCCTAAGAAATTACGTTTGAATAGAAATAAGAGCCGGAATCCCCAGTTTTAGTGCCTGTACTTTGGATTTGGCCACAGACATGCAATGTTAGCAGCTGGAAACCATGTGCCATAAAACCCGTGTGACTTTTTTCTTAAAGATTTGCTGATGTTGTGCCAATGCCATGCACTGCCTTGCTGGTTGTTAGCTGCTGTTGTGCAGTTCTACAGAGAGAGCAGTGCAGAAAACATGCTAAGTGAAAGTGATAAACAAAAAAAATAGAGGCGTAACACATGACAGAGAGAAGCAGCTACTCGGGTCATGAGGAGGAGGAGATGAAACTAAAAGCAAAAGATGTGCCTTTTCTGAGAAAAAATGAGAGAATTGGGAAAGTGTAATGAATATTAAAAGGCTGAAGTCTGAAGATAGATTTTGACTGAGGTAAAGAGAATAGAAACTGGAAGGAAAATGAGGAAGAAAACAAAAAAGAGGAGGTTTTCCCACCCGCATTAGTCCCCTTGCATTTCCAGAAGGAGCCCGTAGGAAGCTGTCTGTGTGCAGAGGAGCTCTGTGGAGGGCTGACCCGTGCCAGACCCCTCATCGCTGCCAGCTGGAGGGATGCGTCAGGAAAAAGAGAGAGCAGCCAGAACAAGATCTCTTGTCTGGTGTAATGCAGCGAGACTCTCCTTAGCTACTCGAGGTTGTATCTGAGCTGGGGAGAGCATCATTAGGCATCTGCAACCAGTTGTTTGGAAGCTCTTATTCCCATGCTTTACCTGGCCTCTGAGTTCATAAGGGAGAAACCCTCTTACAATTTTTAGCTGGGTGGACCTCGTTTTTTCTGCCACTTTATTTTGCACTGTTGAATTTTCCTTGGAGAGGTATCAATCTGGAGTAACTGCATCCAGCTAGGAGAATTATCTTTTGCCATTGCCTTTCCAAGGGCCATTTCCAGTAATGGGAAAAATATGTAGAAAGTAGCCTGAATTGCCCCAAAATGGCTGTGCTCGCTGCTGTAGGCAGCAGGTGTGCTTGTTTGTTGACCAATTCTTTAAATGTTAATTTTTGTGCCGAGCTTCTAACAAAATCAGCTGGGGCCCATGTGTTCATCACAGGAGGCTGAGGATGGTCTGAACATTTGGGATGATATTGAATCATCTCAGGAAGCTTCCTCACAACCCTAATTACTATACAGTTAGGAGTGGATATGGAGTCTATAAGAGAAAACACAGTATTAAACTGTTTTTCAGGCATTCTTGACTTGGCAGTTCTTAAATGTGAGTGCTTGAGCTTGTGGGAGGCAGTGTTCACTTTGCGCTTGCTGAAGAAGTCTCTGCTTAAATCTGCTTCTACCAAGTTAATGTGCTCTGTGTGTCATGAGTGGGGCAAAGGACAGCATCTTGGGCAAAAATCAACATTACAAATCAGCTCCACAGCTGTCTTTGATCTTGAGTAAGTCCTGTGCTGTAAGTATGGTTCTCCAAGTCTAGTCCAGACCATGGCTGGTGTTAATCAGCCTTGAGGAGCCATCACTCTCTAAAAAGGGGTTTCAAAACATAATTAATTACTTCTTATTGCAATAAGCCCGTAAACATGAGGCACCTTTCTTAGCAAGTTGGGGCAAGTGCAGGTGCTCTGCAGGTCCACAGAGGATGTGAAGCTCATGCTGGAGGGGAGAAGAACCTGTATTTGGGGGAAAGGGAAGTGAAGTTTAAGGATAGGACTGATTTTCTCCACATTTACCAAAGATGTGGGTGTCACAGCTGGCCAAGTAAGCCATTAATCCAATCAATAAGAGATGACATCTCAGGGCAATCAGTCTCACTGAACGGAGACCTTAATGTGGGATGCATTGCCCCTGTTGAGTCTCTCATTGGTATCTGCCTCTCTCAGTGATAGTACAGGGAGCTGTGTCTAAGGACTTGAACCTTGACTTTTGGCCAGCTAAGGTTAGGTGAAATCAATCCTGTCCAAAGAATAGGCAGTTTTTAACCATTCTTGTAAAGTCTGGTTGGTCATGATGTGTCCTAGGGTGTTAGACTCTGATAAATTAAGCTACGTTACCTTACACTCCATGTCTCTCTTTTCTCATTGAATGTGGAGAGTCCACAGGGTTATAGGAATGAATGAGTGGGTAATCCTCAGAGGACTCCATGCTGAACACAGTCAGCCTCTTCTGCTGGCTCCTCACTGTTGCTCCTCAAGATGAAGTCGGACCGTTGTGCAGCTAATACCTCAGTCCCCTGTGCTTCCCTGTTTTGCTGGGTTTACACTTCAGCCCCATCCACGCACCCTCCCCCTTCATGGGGCAGGATCAATGCAGCAGGGCTTTGAGCAATTTCCCGTAATTAAACCAATGCAATTCTGTCATAGCAAGGCACCACACCCTAAGGCACATAATAGCTCATAAAGAAGGAAGATAGTTCTTTTCTCATTGTAAATTACATGTATGAATGTGCTTCACTTAGAAAGCACCATCTTCATTTTCCTTAGGAGTATTGCACCCATTTTCTATTCCATCTCTTGGTGATGCTGTCTTATTTCAATGGAATCAGAGTATTTCCTTCCCGAATATCTCATTAATAGTTCTATTTGCTGACAAGGGTGGTAGGTTTAATAGAGCCTCCCATTCAAATTCATTGTAAGAAGGGTTCCCCTTTATAGACATCCAATTTCAACATCCCGCCTGTATGAAATACGTGCATGCTATAGAAGTTGGATTTGCGCCATTGTTTGGTAACAAAAGGCAGGAAATTAAAGAGGCAACATTTCAGTAAAAGAGTGTGTGTGCTTTCTCTTTACCTGCTATTGTTGTAAATGACACTGAAGATTATTGCAAGCTTAAGAGCGGATTTTATGCAGAAAAGATTTGCTTTTTATTTGTCGGTGAATGTATGTGCTACATTAGGCAGTGCTTTGTATTTAGTCAGCTTTACTGTGTAGTCTGTTTGGAAGGGAAATATAATTATAATAATTGTAAAACCATAAGTGTTTGCAGAAGATTAGAAGGAATTCAAGTTTGAAACCATTTTAATACATTTTTCAAAACTGTCTGTGTTTCAAGTTACTGTCTTTGGTTACTGCTACAGAGCCAGGTTATGTGTGCATTCAACTGAGCATGAGTTCCTGAGGTTTGACTTAGTACAATTTATGTTTAGATTACCATTAAAAGTAATATCTTATGAATGGTAGACACTCAATCAGTTATTCTGAATTACTTTTGTGTAAAATATTCACTGTTACCCTCTATAGAAGTAGCAGCATTTAATTACTTAAATACAAACGCTAAAGTAATTTTTTTATGTTTGTTTTCTTTTGGATGTAATTACAGAAATGTGGGAAATACTTTTCCAAGGCTTTTGAACTCCAAAGTGGAACAGAAGGAAGACACAGGGGGACATACACCGTTCAGAGTTATTTTCCTTGCACAGGAAAAAAAGATCATTATGAGATGAGCACTAAAGTCTCAAGTTTTCAAAGGTTTGCATAACAAACAAGAGACACATTGTGGGTTGCATCTTGACTTTGAAGGCTTGCCACTGTCAACTGAAATAAAATGGCAAGGTTTAAAGCCTTAACCAAGTTCACAAGGAAAATATTTGGACTAAAAGTTTTGGAAAGTTTTCTCTCTTTGAAGTAGTTTGTCATGTGTTACCAATGTGAACTTTATTGACCTTGAAACATTTTTTTTTTTGAATCAAATAGCAACTAGTGACACTTTAGTAAAATCTTAAATCAACAACCATCTCCTGGCGGCTCTAGCTTCGTAGCAAATGCAGGCAAAACAGGGAATCTACAGAAGAGACCTTTATTATTCGTAAATGAAGCCTGCCAAAACCTTCCCGAAATAGCATTCAAAGACCCTTTTAAGGTCATGGATCCTGAACAAAGCCAGAAGAGCACAAAGAAGGCTGAGGAAAGTCCAAGAAAGAGGCTTCCCAAAGGAGAGGCTTTCCAAGCCAGTATTTCATCCGCAGCTACGTACCAGGGCAGCTCTGCTTCTTCGCAAGGAACCCCTCTCCGAGATATCATATCACAGCAGCACTTTTCTGGTTCTTTGCCGATTCCAAGAGAGGAGTCTCAGGAGAAGACTGGACATCAGAAGCAACCTAAGCCTTCCTCTTTTGAGCATCCTCCCCACGTTTCACAGCTTCAGCAGCACGCACTGTCACCAGCATTTATGTCTCCTGGGAAACCAGAGCATGTCCTTGAAGGTCCCACATGGCAGCTAGTTGATCCAGTAAGACCAGGTCCCTCTGGCTCCTTTTCGTCACCTGGGCTTCACTCTCACCACGGCCAGCTCTTACCTTCCCATTCACCGATCATTCCTGGAGAGGACATGCCGTCCGTTCAAAAGGTCTATATCCCTCGCCCTTCACAGGTTTCCTTAAAACAAGCTGAGGAAGTGCACAAGAAGGAAAAGAAACCTCAGAAGCCAGGCAAATATATTTGCCAGTACTGCAGCAGGCCTTGCGCGAAGCCAAGTGTGCTCCAAAAACATATCAGGTCACACACGGGTGAGAGGCCATACCCTTGCATTCCATGTGGCTTTTCTTTTAAGACGAAGAGCAATTTGTATAAACATAGGAAATCTCATGCTCATCGAATAAAAGCTGGGCTGGCCTCAGGGATCGGAGCGGAGATGTATCCATCGAGCTTGGAAATGGAAAGGATCGGCGGGGAGGACTTCGAAGAGCCAACAGAAGGGGAAAGCACAGATTCAGAGGAGGAAACGGGTGCAATGTCGGGCCATTCAGTAGAGCTCTCACCCAGGCAGAAGCACAGCCTGTTGTCCAGTAGTTTGCTGAGTGGAGGGAGCCAAGGCTCCAGCCACGACCGGTGTTCATTGTCTCATTCCAGTATGTCTCAGTCTCTTGAGGACAGCACCCAGTTTGTGGAGCCATCGTCAGACCATGCTCTGAGCCATAAAGCTGAAGATACCCATACTATAAAGCAGAAGCTTGCACTCCGCTTAAGCGAACGGAAGAAGGTCATAGATGAACAAGCTTTCCTGAGCCCTGGGAGCAAAGGGAGTACCGAGTCAGGCTACTTCTCAAGATCAGAAAGTGCAGAGCAGCAGATCAGCCCACCAAATACTAATGCAAAATCTTATGCAGAAATTATTTTTGGGAAGTGTGGTAGAATTGGGCAAAGGACTGCAGCGTTAGCTGCAAACACAACCCAGGGGTTTCCGCACCTGTCTACCGAAGAGAAACCTAGTATGGTACCGTTATCTGTGCCTAGAACACAGGTTATTGAACACATCACTAAGCTAATTACAATTAATGAAGCTGTTGTAGATACCAGTGAAATAGATAGTGTTAAGCCTAGAAGAAGCTCTTTGTCTAGACGTAGCAGCATTGAATCTCCAAAGTCTGGTGTATATAGAGAACCGTTCCAGTTTGATATCAAGTCTGGTTCCAGTAGCCAGTTGGATGCATCAAAAGTGTTGACATCCCACGGTGAAAAAATTAAGCCCGAACAATCATTGTTGTCACTTCAGCAATCCCACAGTGCCACAGAGACAGTGCCTCTCCTAAGAAGCCACTCAATGCCTTCTGCTGCATGCACTATAAGCTCCCCACATACCTTTAGAGGTAGCTATTCATTTGATGATCACATCATGGAGCCCGCAGTCTTAAGCCGCAGTCAAGCATTTTCTTCCCATCCTCGAATGCTAAAACGACAACCAGCTATTGAGCTACCTTTGGGAGTAGAATACGTCTCCGAGGAGGTTAGCTCTGCAAACAAAGAAACTGTTTCCAAACCTCCCGAGGAGTCTGAAACCAAGGAAAGCGATCTTACCAAAAAGTCACGGAAGGGTCCGAAAGTTAAAGGGTTCATGTACGAGTGTAACATATGTGGTGCTCGGTATAAGAAAAGGGACAATTACGAAGCTCATAAGAAATACTACTGTTCAGAACTGCAGCTTTCAAAGCCTCGTTCTTCCACTTCCCATACCTCTTCAGAGACTGAGAAAAGTGTTGCAGATCCCGACACATGGCCCCAGATGATGCATTACAAGCTAGGGAGCAGTTTGGAGCTCACTCCGCTCCGAAAAAGACGAAAGGAAAAGAGTCTCGGTGACGATGAGGAACCTCCAGCTTTTGAGTTGTCTGACACTCCCTCCTCCAGTACTGGGCCAGGGACTCAGTTTGCAAATCCAGCATCATCTGATGTCGCTTTAAACCTGACCCGTGAATCCATTAAGTCACCAGCAGATCCGGGTAAATCCGCACCTTCTGATGTCAGTGCCAGCTTTCATTCCAGGAATACCAAACCGGCTTCGAGTGCAGAGGGCAAAGAGAGAAAAACAACCTCAAAGGAGATCTCTGTCATCCAGCATACGAGCTCCTTTGAGAAGTCTGACTCTATCGAGCAGGTGAGCAGCTTGGAAGGAGAAGACAAACCCTTGTCACAGTACTCATCTCAGCCAACACCCCAGCACAGCCGTCCGCCTCACTCCCTGCAGCCCAAGCTGGTACGCCAGCCCAACATCCAAGTCCCAGAAATTCTGGTCACAGAAGAGCCTGACAGACCAGAAACGGAGCCAGAACCTCCTCCAAAAGAGCCAGAGAAAACGGAGGAATTTCAGTGGCCGCAGAGGAGCCAGACCCTTTCTCAACTCCCTGCAGAGAAACTCCCACCAAAAAAGAAGAGGCTGCGGCTGGCAGAAATGGCTCAGTCCTCTGGAGAGTCCAGTTTTGAATCTGTCTCTCTCACCCGAAGCCCAAGTCAAGAAAGCAGCATATCCCACAGCTCCAGCCACTCTGTCTCGTTTGACCGTGAAGATCACAGCAAGTCAGAGTCAACTAGCCAGCCCTCTGAATCCCACCCAAAGCCTCCTGGCGTTGGCTCACATATGTTGATGGTACCGAGCCACCATCATCATTCCAGGGAAATGCGGAGATCTGCTTCTGAGCAGACACCGAATGTGTCCCATCCTTCCCAGATGTCAGAGACGCGCAGTAAATCATTTGACTACGGGAGCCTGTCATCCACTCCTGCCTCAACCCCCGGCCCCTCAACCTCCTCGGCTCCACAGGAGAGAAGGAAATGCTTTCTAGTTAGGCAAGCATCCCTCACTAGACACCCAGAGCATGAGCCAGATGCGGCCCCAACAGGCCGGCCAGAGACAGAAGATCCCATTCCTTCATCAAGTAAATCTCCTTCGACAAGTTTGCCTCATCAGCCGATATCTTCATCCCCTTTGCCTTCTCATGGTACTTACCCAAGTGAAAAGAGTCAGCCAAAAGACAGCCCTCAGCCAGCATATACCCAGCCATACACAGAAGCTCTGCAAGTGTTTCATCATCCCGTACCACAGCTAACGCTGCATGAAAAGCAGTTCATGTCCCCACAAGTTTCTATCTTACCACAGCCAGGGCAGTCTGCAGAGCTCTTTGCCGCACACACTATGTCTGACATCCTCTCTGCTCAGTTCACCATGCCTCAGATTCCTCCTTCCATATTTCAGACCCCACCACTGCCTCTCCCGCAAACTCTCATCCACCCAAATCCGCTTCATATTGCTCCTCCATTAATGTCTCACCCTGCCGAGGTGCCATTCAGGCAGCATCCTTCATTCCTGCCGGTGCATTACCCTGGCTCCTCACCAATCCCTTCAGCCTTTTTTCTGCCTCTTCAGTCTCAGTTTGCTCTCCAGTTGCCAGGTGAAGCTGGTGGACATTTACCGCAGATCAAATCCAGTTTATTCCCAGCAGCAGGAACCTCCAGTCTTTCCCCATGCACAGAATATGGCTCAGACAATAGGTTGCATCCTCTGACCTGCACAGCAAGTCCTTCGGTGTCTGTATCCGCATCTCAGCTCGTTGTTCCTACGCAGTCAGACCCAATGGTATCACTTGTTGTCCCTGTTCGCATACAGACAAATATGCCGTCCTATGGGAGTGCGATGTACACAACGCTTTCCCAGATTCTGGTCACTCAATCCCAGTGCAGTTCCTCTTCTATCGTTCTCCCAAAGTTTGATGATCGCCAACCCAAGGGTACCTTGGTCTGTAGCGCTGATGTTCATGGACTAGGTTTCGATCTGGCACAGATGATCACAGAGGATCAAAGAAGCATTTTCCAGAGCCCATATCTGAGAGTGCCCTTACCCTTACCAGAACGAAAAGGCTATATGCCGCTCACCTCCCCATCAGACAGCGTCCTCGGACTGGAAGGAGGCCCATCAACAGTTGGTGGAAGCAAAAGGATGCTCTCTCCAGCTGGTAGTTTGGAGCTGACAATGGAAACACAACAGCAGAAGAGAGTGAAAGAGGAGGAAGTGTCTGAAGCAGAAGAGAAGTTAGAAGTGGTGAAGCCACCCAGTGCAATAGAGGAAGGGAAAAAGCAGGATAAATCTCACTTTCTTGAAGAAAGCCAAGGCAGGGTTGAGGTTGAAACGCCACCTAGTTTGACTTTAGAGCAGTCAGAGCCAAAGGAAATCCCAAGTACTTTGCAGCAAGCTGTGTCCCATTCAGGTTCTCCAAGTTTTGAGGCACTGGAAGAGTATAAGCAGCCATCTGGCAAGCAGTTCCTCAGCAAGGCACCTTTGCAACCCGTGAAGAAAGAAGACTCCAAAGAACTGGTGGAGCAGTCTCCACCAGACCCTCCAAGCCCTGCACCTCTGTCTGAGGTCACTCATAGTGCAATGAAGTCTCGAGAAGGTACAGATACGAAGAAGGTACTTCAGTTCCCCAGTCTCCACACAACCACTAATGTCAGTTGGTGCTATTTAAACTACATAAAACCAAATCATATCCAGCAAGTTGATCGACGGTCTTCAGTGTATGCCAGCTGGTGTATTAGCTTGTATAATCCTAACCTTCCAGGTATATCCACTAAAGCAGCCCTGTCCCTCCTGAGGTCCAAGCAGAAGGTGAGCAAGGAAACCTACACCATGGCTACTGCTCCACGTCCAGAGGCAGGCAGGCTTGTCCCGTCCAGCTCCAGGAAGCCAAAAATGACAGAGGTAATGCAATCCTATATATTTCTCCTCATCCATTTGGATACATGGGAAGAGTGGGACGAGGGATGGGGAATTGCTATTCTTAGTTTAATAGGAGTTTATTCATCCCTCTCTCAGTTTGGTAAGCACTTGTTCTCAGTGAAAATTTTAGAATGAAGAAGTAAAACCCCACTGTAATTAAAAAAAAAAAGGCAAGCCTGCTCCAAGGCAATGTGCCATATTCCTGTTCTTCAGTTTCTACTTGCCTTGTAATCAAAAGAGCATGTAGGAATCACCACTGCACCATGAACTGCCACTGCTCAAGCACAAAGGATTAGACTTGATTTGCATTTGTCTTGATATTTCAAATAGCTTTACAACTTCTTTTTTTTTTTTTTTTTTAACAAATGCTGTTATAATTCCCTACATTTTGCATGTTAAAAATGAAAAAGGATTACCTTGGGGAAATGGGATTCTGTCTGGTTGTGCATCTACTGATCTCACATTAATGAACATGGAGAGGCATGCTTAAAAGTATTTAAAAATATTAAAGGGAGATTTGCAAGTGTATTTAGGCCCCCAAAGAAGCGTAAAGGCATGCAGTGACATTTATAAAAGTGCCGCAGTAGGTTAGACATGGAGTCTTGTTAAAACACCCATGTCGTTTAGTCCATTAAGTTAATGTCCTTAGCTGTCTACCTGCTTTTCCAGGTATCTAAGGATATTTTATACCTTGTCTTTAGAGTTAAGGGGAGCAAGGCAAACAGCTTCACAGGGGCAGAGCTCACCAAAGGCATTGGCCATATGGGCACAGAAATCTTTAAGACTGGTAGGTGCCTAGTGTTACGTATCTCATTTTGAGGCCAGATTTTTCCCCTCTTGGTTAATGCTGAACCATACAGATCCCTTTAATCCAGATCATGTTCATGTAGATTAGCAAACAGAATTGCTCTAAAGATTTTGCAATTTGATATTCATCTCAACTCAATTTATATTGATGGATTATTCATTTTATTTCTGTTTCATGAAATGAACTCTGAATATTAAATTTATCATAATCACTGCTGCAGCTGCTGCTTATAAATATGTCTTAAAATACACAGTAGAGTCACTTTGATTCAATAAATCTTTATTTCTATTCAGCATTTCCATCATTCTTCTGCAGAAATCCAAAAGACAGAATTTCTAGGGACATAGGGGCAGATGATTACCTGTGCAGTGCAATAGCAACACAAATGCTGGATATTTATGCACTCTTTTTCAAAGGATTTTATCTGAACAGTGTTGTACCATCCTTGATTTAATTCTCTAATAGAAGTGCCTGTGCTCCTCTGAGCTTTGCTCTTTGACATGGTGCTAAAATGCACACCAAGTGTGTTTCAGAAATATGAGACCCTCATACCCTGAAGTTAAAGGTTAAGCTCTAGACAGGAATCGTTCAGCCCTTAGTCATCAAAATACACATTTCACTGCATGCATTTGCTCAAAAGACTCAAAAATCTTTTAGACAAAACCCTGTAAGCTGACTGGTGGTGAAAGTTAAGGTTTTCATGGTACAGTTCACAAAAGTAAGAGTTTGTCCTTCCAAATTCACCTGGAAAATGGTGTAGTCTAAATCCAATATTAATGCCTGCTGCTTAAAGGAGTGCGGTTTGCAGAAATTATGTTAATTTCAATGGAGATAAATTGACCTCATACCAAGCAGACAAATAATTTTTGATTAGAGGATCAGTGGGAATGAAACCCTCAGTTTAGTTTTTAAAATACGTTTGACTGGCACAGATTAGGAAGTAGTGATGCTGGTTACTCCGGAAGATGTGATTAACAGGAGCTGCATAGCAGTAACGTCAATCAAAGGTAGAAAGTTCAACCTTCAGTTAACTCTGCTCTAGCTATTTCCCTTAAATGTTTACTTCTCTATGTAACTGTAAGTGGTCAGTCAACACAACAGAAAATGTAAAACAGCTTTAATATTTTGTACAATTATGCATGCAGTAAGCTACCAGCGAGCAGTAGTACTGTATATACCGTCTACGTACTTGGCTTGGTTTTTAAATGACCAGTGGGATTTACTGAGCAGATCAATTCTGAAGTGACTGTAGGCTCCAGCAT